ACAGTGTGTCAGTCAGTATATCAGTGTGTCAGTCACACAAGGTGTCAGATACACAGCACATGTCAGTCAGTGTGTCAGTCACACAGTGAATGTGTCAATATGTGTGGGGTACCTACGTGGGACGCAAGAGCCAAACTTGTCAGGGAACTCGGAGAGCAGGTCATCGTTCACTCTGTCCTTCGTCGGACCGAGGATGATGATGGGCCTGGCATAGTGCACTGGAGAGAGAGTGTCGGGTGAGAGGAGGGAGTAAGAGGGGGGAAGGGAAGTCAGAGACAGAGGGGAAGGGAAAGAACGGACAGAGGAGGGAATCAGGAATTGTTTTAAGTGTCAGGCAGACTGCTAGTAAGTTCATGACCTGTATTTTTAAAACAAAGCAAAAAGAGCCAAAAACCTCCAATACCTTCAACATGCGTGACAGTCTCGTAACTCTGGACGAAATCATCCCTGCCTGCAGAGAGAGAGAGGGTGAGAGATGCAGGGAGACAGACCCTGTCTGTACAAAAGCCTGTCAGTACAAAAGCCTGTCCCGACTGAGTGCAGACTCAGTGGCCACAGCACCAGCCTTGTACACACTACAGTACCTCTGGCATTCACAGGTCTTCACTCTCCTGTTGGGCTCTGTGCAGAGTCCCAGGGTGAGTGATCTGACAGTGGGTGTCAGAGGAGGGTGTGCACAGTTCTCACTCTCCTGTCAGGCTCTGTGCAGAGGCCCAGGGTGAGTGATCTGACAGGGGATGTCAGAGGAGGGTGTGCACAGTCCTCACTCTCTTGTCAGGCTCTGTGCAGAGTCCCAGGGTGAGTGATCTGACAGGGGGTGTCAGAGGAGCACCTCCCTATGTCAGTACAGGTGCTGCTGACGAAGAGTTGCATCCCAAACACCTGGCCTATCCAGGCTGGGTGATAAAGGCAATTTCTAACTAAACATGAAGAGTAGCTGCAGCAGGACGCTGGCAAGGGGGCATTGCTGGCAGTGGAGACGCTCACCTTGCGATCCGATGCTGTCTCGGCTGCGGTCCTGCAGAGAGAAAATAGTTTCACCCAGTGCGCCGCACCAGCGCTCATCATCATCATCTTCTACAGCAGTGGCAGTGTATCAGACTGTCTGATTCAGCCTGATTCTGATTCACTGATGTCAGTCAGTGTATCGATCTGTCAGAGCATCTGTCAGTCAGTGTATCAACCTGTCAGAGTGTCTGTCAGTCAGTGTATCAGCTGTCAGAGTGTCTCTCAGTCAGCTTATCGATCTGTCAGAGTGTCTGTCAGTCAGTGTATCAATCTGTCAGAGTGTCTGTCAGTCAGTGTATC